CCTAGATTATGAGTGCAAATAAGTTAGTCCATTTGCCCAGATACTGACCGATGACCCCTCAAGTGCAACTTGATAAGGAAGGACATTAGGCGAATTCGTCTAAACGATACCTGGTGCTGAAAGAACACAAAGAGTGAGTTAAATTCCTCAAAACGAGAAGATTCATGGTAGTTAAACTTCAGTAGAATAAATGTTCTGAAACAATTGAATACTTACTTGTACAACGATCATTTTCGCTAATTGATCGCCTTCAATACCATTTTTAAAAACTTGAAAGTTGCGTGAACAGCATGGAAAAGTATCCTGCTTTTCAGCATACATAAAAGAATATGCACGATTTAAATAGCAAATAAATACCAGAACAAACAACATAAAATAGACATAATGAATAAAACTCACCTGCAGGCCCTATTAGAACAAGATCATTTTCAGGGTTCGAATCCTTGCGAGTTTGCGCGAATTATAACTGCGAGTTGCTACCTGAATTGCTGAATAGGAAGACATTCACAACTGGCAGCTCGGCAAATGACCCAAAATGATATCGATTCATCGAGGTTCATGCGACCTAAATGTGGACTGACAACCTCTTCTCGGTGAACGTTTATTTACCATCATACGCACGTCACGGAACACCATTTCACTGCGATTAGCAATATTTCTCTTCCAGTCATTCTCGCTTAAATCCCCGCACATTCGGCATAATCGTTTCATTCCCAGTGACAGTTTATTCGTCATACTTTTCATTTATAGTGTAGTTATAGACCCATGTACCTACGGTAGCTGCAATGATCATGACAGTGATTCATGCATATGTGCTGAAAAACGTAATGCTTTTTGCACGTATCTTGAACCAATTTCCTCTTTTATTTCATTATCTACCCCTCTCCGATTGCTGGTACAGTTATTTTACGAAACATTTTTAATGGTGGCGCTCCTCTGCCAAGTGAGCAAGTTCCATGTGCTGGATTCTAAGGCATTACAATCCTGTAGAGCCATCTGTTTTACATTCTACCCTTGACAGTAATTCCGTGATTTAGCAAAAAATCCATCTTTCAAACCATGCCTTCAACAACGGGATTACATATCCAAACCATTGCAACTATGATCTCTTGATCTGAAGAAGAAGCGGTTCAAAATCGAACGTATCTCACATTAACGTATTTCAGATCTTTCAGTCTCATAGCTTTATTTCTACTGCTTATATCAAGGATCACACTGTTTTGGACAATATGCAGTATTCGCGACCCGACCGTACGCATACATACTTAAAGACAGGGAGATTCTCTTTATCGCAGTTCCTTTATCACCAGAGACCTTCTCAGCTCCAGCATTAACGCGCCCGCCTGCTACTCCCTCTGCCCATATTCCTGCCTATTCCGACGTCCACCTTGCTATCACTTTATAATGATACTCTGTGATGCCTATATGTTAATTGCTGACAACGCTTACCCAGTGAACAAAACATTTAGTTACGCTCTATCAGTAGAATTCGCGTCAAAAATTTTTCTGCTATTTCACGCACTTGAGTCGTTGCTATGCCACGATTACCGGAAGTCCAGCGGTAAACATTATTTCGTACCTAATTTATCCATTTCATCGACTAAATAAACATAATGGAAATTAATTAACCTTTAATTTGCTGACTCTTAAGCGCCA